TGACAAGCAAAACACTGCCCAACCTAAGAGCAATGATTTCCGACCTCATCACCGCAGCAAAACAGCACGGACTGGAATTGCACCCGACCGCGGCCAAAATCATGACCAATCAGCCTCGACACCGCGACCGAACAAACAGCAGGAATGGACATCGCCATATTACCACGAACATGCACCATCACCTACCTGGGCCAGACCATTACTTTCCACGACGCACCCGAAACCGAAATAAAACACCGGATTCAAGCAGCATGGGCATGTTTCAGCAGCCACAGACAAGAGCTCACAAGCAAGCACTATCCACTGCGACACCGACTACGACTATACAGTGGCACCGTCATCCTTACGATGACGTACGGAGCCTCTCAAGCAGTTGTTACGCAGAACACAACGACGGATGGTACGAATCATAATCGGAACACCAAGGAGACGCACGGCAGCGACACACACACACACACCACAACATAATCCAGAGACATCCCCATACAATCACGACACCAGCAGCACAGCACCAAACGACTCCAGCGAATCCAACGTTTGCAGCAATCCACATGCACTCCAGCCAAACGCGCAGGACGGCGTCAGCGATGACGAATGCACGCAACCGGGCAATACGCAAAACGAGGACGTCGAATTGTGGTACGATTTCATCCGCAGGAGTACGCGGAGAGCAGAGACATCGATGTTGAAACATGATATACCCGATGTACTCCACCTGCACCGAAGGATGGCCTGGCGCTGGGCAAATACGATGGCTCTTCTCCCTCCGGCACGCTGGACACAGAGAGTGCTTAATTGGAACCCAAATCTCAACACTCGACAACAAGGACGACGGCAACAAGGAGGGCAACAAAAACGATGGGACGGCAACATCCGGAAGTTTCTCCACATATTGGACGGGCACCACTGCGACACCGACACCAAGCAGGACCAGGTCCGAGCGGCGACCCAACCACGACAACACCGAAACAGCAGCACAAACGACCTGCTGTGGTGATCAGCGGCTGGGAGCACTGAGTGGTGGTTATCACGTGAGTCCACCTATGATTCACATGTTTGAGGCCACAGCCTCCACGCCATGCCCTGATGGGCACGGGCGTGCCCCCCGTAGGAGCACGCACGCCTCCAGCGTTTCGCTTTCCGTTTTTTTAATATTGGGTCGGGCCCGAACCCAATCTACTTTATCCGCCTTCCGACTTCATGTTTCGACCTATTTCTTCCGACCGATGGGTACCGCCCCAGAACGCAATCTGCTTTAAGCGCCTTCCTACATGTTTAGATGTTTGGGGGGGGGGGGCGGGTGCCGAGTTATTGCTCGAGTCGCCGGAGTTCTGGGACCATGACTCTCGCCGCCGTCGCCACCGCCCGCGGCGACGAGCCGAGGCCATGCCCCCTTGGACGTCGGGCACCCAGCCCCTCCGCTGGGGTGCGGAGGACGGCCCGGGAAAGTTTCTCCGAAGGGCTTAGGCGACCCCTCCTCATCCTCCTCCTCCTCCTCCTCCTCCTCCAACTTCAACTCCAACTCCTCCTCCTCCTCCACCTCCTCCTCCTCCTCCTTCCCCTCCTCCTCCTCCTCCTCCTCCTCCTCCTCCTCCTCGGGTCGCCTACGGCCCCGGAGGGAAACCGTGCAGGACGGCCCTGGAGTCCTGGCCGCCGTGCGCGCCCTGATCCTGCCAGAGGTGTTCTGCGACGCCTGCGCCCAGGACGACGGCTGCAGGGCCGACGAGAAGGTGAGGGGCCCATGTTCCACCACCACTGCCATACTATGTAGGAGGAGGAGGAGGAGGAGGAGGACGAGGAAGAGGAGGAGGAGGAGGAGGAGGAGGAGGAGGAGGAGGAGGGGAAGGGGGAGGAGGAGGAGGAGGAGGAGAGGAGTTGGAGGATGAGGAGGAGGAGGAGGAGAGGAGGAGGAGGAGAGAGGAGGAGGAGGAGGAGGAGGAGGAGGCGGAGGAGGAGGAGGGGAAGGGGGAGGAGGAGGAGGAGGGAGGAGGAGGAGGAGGAGGAGGAGTTGGAGGAGGAGGAGGAGAGGTGGAGGAGGAGGTGGAGGAGGAGGGGGAGGGAGGAGGAGGAGGAGGAGGAGGAGGAGGAGGAGGAGGACCTTCTCATCCTCCCTGCTCCCTGGACCGACATTCGGGTTGACCCAAAAGGGGGTCCAGCGACAAGGGGGTGGTGCAATAGATTTGGTAGGTTTGTGAGGTTGCAATACATTTGGAGCGTGCAATACATTCCGGGGCGCAAATGCATTTCAAAATGCAATACACTTATCCGGCGCAATACGTTTGCAATCCAATTGCCCCAAATCTATTGCACCACCCCCTTTCAGCTGGACCCCCTTTTGGTTCACCCGGATACATATGGTAGTGGTGGTGGAAGACGTGCCCATCAGAAGAGCGTCCCTGGCATACTCGTCGAAAACACCCTGGAGGAGGAGGAGGTCGGAGCCGCGGGGCCCGCCCCCGCCGCGAGTGAATGCGGCGGGCGTGCAGCTGCGCTCCAGCCTGGGACAGCTGGCCGCTCGTGCTCCGGCCCGAGCCGCGCGCCGCGGCCAGAGAGGGCGCAGGCGGGGCAGGGCGACGCGGCGGGAGTGACGCTCGAGCGCCGCGAGGCGCGCCCAGCGGGGCAGGGTGCGACCTACGAGGGGCAGTGGTGGGGCAGCGCGTGGCACGGCCAGGGGACGCTGAGGAGCGCCGAGGGCAGGATAACGTACGAGGGCAGCTTCGTCGACGGCCAGGTGCATGGCGACGGGAGCCTCAGAGCCGCCGACGGCAGCGCCTACCAGGGGCAGTGGAGGCGCGGCCAGAGGGATGGCCACGGCAGGTATCAGCAGCCTGGCGGAAGTACTTTCGAGGGTGAGTGGGTCGGGGACGCGAAGGAAGGGCATGGCGTCGAAACCTTCGAAGACGGGGCCCGGTACGTGGGGCAGTTCGCAGGTGGCCTCAAGCACGGCAACGGCGAGTACACATCTAGCACGGGCGCGTGCTACAGGGGCCAGTTCAGCTCTGACAAGATGCACGGCGAGGGTTCCTACAGTTTCGCAGACGGCCGAAAGTACAGCGGCCAGTGGGAGGGAAGCCGACTGCACGGGCTCGGGAGGATGGAGTGGCCGAGCGGAGTCGTCTTCATCGGCAGCTACCAGGACAACCTGAAGCACGGCCAAGGCCGCCTTGAGTGGCCGAGCAGCCGCGAGTTCAGGGGCGAGTGGCTGAACGGGCGCGCCGTGGGCGAGGGCGTGATCGTCGAGCCCGACGGCAGAGAGGCCGTGGTCGCCGCGAGTGCGGTCTTCGATGGCACCGCGGCCCCCGAGCTCCGGGCCTGACGCGCCCGCGCACCCGCGATGAGCGGAGACGATCACGGGGCCGAGCTCGACACAGCAGGAATCAGGACCACGATGCAGTAGGAGCCCCGGCGCGTATGGTCCCCGTCGCATCCCGTCGCGCTGCCGCGCACATCCGACTTGGCGGATTGCAGAAGGGGATGGGGCTCCAAGAAGCCTCACTGCGAGCCTCCGCTCCCGCCCAGGAAGCCCCCTGCCTTCTAAGGAGGCCCCTCCTCGACCCACCCCCCACCCCCACGCACACACCCTCGCACACACACACACACACACACACACACACACACTCTGTTTTTTTGTTGTCTCTCTCTCTCTCTCGATATGTATATCTACATATATCTAAAGTTGTCTATCTCTCTCTATATATATGAACAGACACATACACACATACACTTACACACACACACTTACACACACGTACACATACACACGCACACACATACACACACACACACACACGCACGCACGCGCGCGCGCACGCACGCACACAAGCACGCACGCACACGCACACGCACACACACACAACAAACACGCACAACACACACACAAAACACGCATAGCACACACACACACACAAAACACGCACAACACACACGCACAAAACACGCACAACGCGCACAACACGCGCAACACGCACAACACGCACACACACATTCCCTCATCCCTCTGAGAGCACCGCCAGTCGTCACCGCGAGTTGGGCTGTAGCGCCAAGATTCTCTTGGCCGTGCACGGTTGCAGCGTTGCACGGCTGGGCCGCCAATGCGAGAGGACACGTTGGACATTGCTCTCGTGCGCGGGGAGACACGCCAGGCACGCGGACCCGGATCGGTGAGTTTCATACATTTGAGCAGCCTCGATTTTTCATATGCAAGGCTAGCATTATGTCGGGCCTGTCCCTCTACAGGGGGGACATTCAAAAATAGTCCAAAAATAGTCTGGGGACGATGTTTGACTATTGTTGAGCATTTTTGAGTTTTTCTGTCCATATTTCCCAACTGTTCTGCCAAAATCCCCCTGTATGGGGACATGCCCGACTTAAGCCTAGACTTCTCGTTTGCAAGGCTAGCAGGGCGGGCTGGGAGGAAGGAGGCCAGGAGGGAGGAGAAAGAAACCCCAGGGACCCTGGAGGTAGCGGACGAGGGCGACGATCGCTTGCACAGACAACCTGGACACGCCATGCTCGAAGACAGATCGGAAGCCTTGGGAGCGCCAGGAAACAACCAGGCACATGTGGATGCGAATATCGAACGGCCTTCAACCTCCCGCCACCGTGCCTGGGTCGCGGGTCGGAGTCTTCAGGGATGCGTCTTGGGGTCTCTCAGGAGCGCTCTCGGAGGCCTCTTGGGGGCAGTTTGGGGGCCTCTGGGGAGCCTCTCTTGGGGGCTTCTTGGGGGCCTCTTGGGGCTTCCTGGGGGCCTGTTGGGGTTCTCGGGGGCATCTTTGGGGCCACCTTGGGAGCCTCTTGGGGCCTCTTGGGGGGCTCTTGGGGGCCTCTGGGGAGCCTCTTGGGCTCCTCTTCGGAGACTCTTAGGGCTTCCTGGATGCCTCTTGGGGGGCGCGAGCCGCCGGAGCTGTCGAGGGCAGCAAACATGAGCCATGTATCCTCAGGAGCGCGCACCCCTCCAGGACGGCGAGGCCGAGGACCCAGAACCGACGGTGCCAGGACCACGGCAGCCCCAAGTGCAACCCGTGAAAGTGAGCCGCACCTGGTGGTTGAAGTCCGGGAGCTGCACTGGAACATCAGTAGCGAGAACCCAAGCGTTAACCGACGCAGGGAGCCTGCACGCCCGACACTGGTGCCCAAGTGAGCACAGTCGTCGCTGGCCCAGGTTGGGGCATGCGTGCAAGGAGGGAGGGGATTAGATTCAAGCATGTGGCGCCCGCCATGCTTGAGCACCTGGCACTTCAGCCACAGTGGCTTGAGCCAAACAGGCTACGATCAGGGGAAGGAGGAGGAGGAGGAGGAGGAGGAGGAGGAGGAGGAGGAGGAGGAGGAGGAGGAGGAGGAGGAGGAGGAGGAGAGAGAGGAGGAGGAGGAGGAGGAGGAGGAGAAGAAGAAGAAGAAGAAGAAGAATAAGAAAAAGAAGAAGAAGAAGAATAATAAGAAGAATAATAATAATACGAAGAAGAAGACGAAGAAGAAGAATAATAATAATAAGAAGAAGAAGAAGAATAATAAGAAGAAGAAGAAGGAGGGGCAGGAGGAGGAGGAGGAGGAGGAGGAGGAGGAGAAACAGGATGTTGTCCCACTTGTGAGCCTGACAATGTTGGGCTGCCTACGTCGAGGATCTTCGCAGCCGTGTGAAAGGGCCTGGGCCAGCCTGGAGTGGCATTGAGGCCGCAGCTGGGGTCCCCAGGGCCATCCGCGGGGGAGCCGTCCGGGGGCCGATCGGGTGCGGTTAGAGTCTCTCCTGAAGCGACAACACAAGAGCTTGCCGGAAGTGCTATGCACTTCTACTCTTCCATATGATCCCTGGGGGGTCCCAGGGTGGAGGGTTTCTCCGAAGGGCTTAGGCGACCAGTCCTCCCCTCCTCCTCCTCCTCCTCCTACTCCTCCTCCTCCTCCTCCTCCTCCTACTCCTCCTCCTCCTCCTCCTCCTCCTCCTCTTCCTCCTCCTCCCTCCTCCTCCTCATCCTCCTCTCCTCCTCCTCCTCTCCTCCCTCCTCCTCCCTCCCTCCTCCTCCCTCCTCCTCCTACTCCTCATCCGCCTCCTCCTCCTCCTCCTCCTCCTCCTCCTCCTCCTCCTCCTCCTTCATTTCCTCCTCCTCCTCCTCCTCCTCCTCCTCCACCTCCTCCTCCTCCTCCTCGGATCGCCTACGGCCCCCCGGGGGAGACCGTGCATCCCAGGGGTCCCCTGGAGGACTTCTTGGGGCTCGCTGGGATACTGCACAGTCGGGTCTGATCCTAGAGTAGGTCGAACCTGCAACGTGAAGGGCACCCTGGTGTCCTGGCTATCATCGCACGTCCTTCTCCATCCATGCCTGGAGCACGCGCTGTCCTCGGAAGAGACTTGTGTCCTATCGGAAGTCCTCTGCAATCAGTCCCGACTGCAAGGGGTCGTCAGGCCCTGTGCCCTCGGGCTGTCTTGGGGTGTCTGATGGCGGTCTGGGGGCGGCCGGAGTCTGGCCGTGCTGCCAATCGAAGCTCTCCTGGGATGAGTCACGGGCCGTTTTCGGGCTGGCTCGGGGACCCATCCGAAGACCCTGACCTTTGCAGAGAACAGTCTCGCTGGATGTTTGTTCCACTATTTCGAGCGTCGGAGGTCCTTTCCTGGGCCCTGAGCATTGAACAGTGGCACGGGGCAAAACCAGTCATATAGGGAAGTCAAGAGCTCCAGAAACTACGTATTGAACAAATCACGACGTCGGTCTGGGAGACGTCTAGTTGTTGCGTCCATTCGCCGTTCTAGAATGCAAGGCGGTGCCAGAGCGACAACGTACGAGCCAGAATCACGAAGCTCGCCTGCAGTGAACACGGTTTGATTGCAGTGACCCGAGATTTGGGGGGGCGTTTGTGAGGGGTGGTGGGATTCCGTGGACCCGTCGTTTACGAGCGTCTCCTAGGCATCCGTTGGGCTGGGTGCTGGTTCTTGCTTCTCGTGCCAGGAGCAACAGCTTCTCCAGCCGGCAGCTGCGTGCCACCACCCTCGAGGAGGGGATCCACTCGACCTCGCGAGCCGCAAGTGTGGCCGCACGCAGCTGCTCGGGCCACCACCGGGGGCGCGAAGGCACACGCGTTCCCTGGACGGCGACTGCTGGACCGAAGACCTCGGGGCGCGGGACCGCGCGACGGGCCCGTCCTCGGCGAGCCGTTGGTGCCTGCTGCTGGTCGGCTCTCCCCCGCGCGTGGCCGAGAGTCGGCGGCGAGCGATGGGGGGGGAACAAGAAGGAGAAGGCCTTCTCAGAAGGCGGCGAGACTTCTCAGGAGCCCTCGCGCCTTCTGAGAAGCCTGTTCTGTCTTCGGGGAAGGCGTAGAAAACTTCTCAGGAGGCCCGGGAACTTCCGAACCTTCTGAGAAGGCCTTCTCCTCCTCGCTTCCCCCCCTCGCTCGCCGCCGAGAGAATATCCACCGCTGCAGTCAGGAGGCCCCCGTCGCAGACTTGGAGGCGCTGAGCCTCGATGGCGGGCAGATGGCCAGGTGCGGTCGGGTCTGATCAGCAGGCCGGCGCTGCAAAACCGAGGATGCCCACGTGCCCTGCCTGCCTCGCTTCACGTGTCGCCGTGCCGTGCGTTTTGACTCGCGGCCTCCCGTCTTGGGGAGGGCGCCTCGGCCACCAGGGCAGACGCCGCCTCGGACGCGGTGGGTTTGCCGTGGGTTTGCCGCGGTGCCGGCTTCGTCTGCTTGGGGCGCGGGGCGCAGGGCTTGCCGTGGGCTCGCCGTGGTGTCGGCGACGTCCACCTGGGCGCGTTCAGAACGATCGGCGCGGCGACACGTCCTCTCCGTGCCTGGAGAGCACGGGCCGCCCTCGGCAGAGGCTCGTGTCCTCTCGGGCGCCCTCTGCAACCAGCCTCGCGGCAATTCTGTATCCTCCTTCCTCCTCCTCCTCCTCCTCCTCCTCCTCCTCCTCCTCCTCCTCCTCCTCCGCCCTCCTCCCCCCCCTCCTCCTCCTCCTCCTCCTCCTCCTCCTCCTCCTCCTCCTCCTCCTCCTCCTCCTCCTCCTCCTCCTCCTCCTCCTCCTCCTAGGGGGGAGGGGGGTCGTCAGGGCGAGGAGGGGAAGGAGGAGTCGGGAGGCACGGTAGCGGACACCCCTCTCTCCTCCCTTCCTCCCTCCCTCCCTCCTCATCACGTCTCCTCTCCTCCTCCTCCTCCTCCTGCTCCTCCTCCTCCACCTCCCCTGGCCTCCTGGCCTGGTCCTCGCCGCCCACAGACCTTGGAGGAGCCAGCGGCTCTGGAGTTCGAGCCCCTCCCTCAAGCAGCAGCGACACGTCCTGGCTCGCCTACGGTTAGGCCCACCAAAGAATGTTCCAAGAACCTTTCGTGTATTGTTTTAGCACATCTGGTTTATGGTCCAAGAATATCGTCGTTGTTCTTAGAACATGCTTGGGTTCTAAGAACATGTCGTGGTATGCCTATAGGAATGCCGGGACGGTCGGTCCCTGCTAAATCCCCTCCCCCTGCGCATTGGGCCGGCCTCCCCTGGCTCTTCCTCCGAGCCTGCTCCAGCAGCGGCAGCAGCAGGAGCACCACCAGAGGGCGCTCCCGACTCGTCCCACCCCCCCACCCTCCCCCCTTCTCCTGGTTCGGCTCCTCCCCCCCCTCCTCCCTTCTCCTGGTTCGCCCCCCCCCTCCTCCCCCCCTCTCCTGGTTCGCCTCCCCCTCCTCCCGCTGCTTCCTGGAGGGCATCTGGAGGCAGAGCGAGTGGCAGAGCGAGGGGCACGCTGGCCGCAGCGAGGTGCGGTGGCGGATGGCAGATCACCGACAGGCAGACGCAATTAGGAGCACGCGCAGGCCTCTGCGAGAGGGGCGGGGGTCGCCCTCGCGAAGCAAGCTCGCCAGGGCCCAAAGCACGGAGCGAGGCGGAAGAGCAGGGCCCGAGCTGCGCCAAACGCATCGTCCATCTCCGCCGCTCCCGCCACCTGCAGTCGACCCGGAAGCTTTTGCCGGGGCGCAGGCCAGAGAGCGAGGAGCTTGCGCGTGGGTCCGAGCTTCACCAAACGCTGTGTTCACCCATGTTCCTCTTCCCACGCTCCCTCTTGAACCGACCTCCTGCTCGTCCCTGTCCTTGAGATTGACTGGTGGGACCAAGGCCGGGGGCGACAGAGGCAACACTTGGAATTGCGTATAGAATCGAGGTGGGGTCATGCAAACCATAGAGTTAAGTCGGGCCTGTCCCTCTACAGGAGGAATATTCAGAGATAGTAAAAAAATAATCTGGGAACGATTTCCTGACTATTTTTGACCATTCGGGAGTATTTTTCACTATTCTTCATTTTTCGTCCAAAATCCGCCTGTGGGAGGACATGCCCGACCTAACCATAGAGATGAATCCGTTTCAGGCTGGTGATTGTCACTCCTCCACTCTTCCCCCCAACCCTTGCAATTCATGGAGATGAATGCGTTTCAGGCTGGTGGTTGCTGCTCCTCCACTCCTCCCCCCCACCCCCTCCATGTGGGCGTCCCTTCGTCGCGCCCCCCCGGCCACTCCCTCCTCCCTGCATCACCAGGGGCTGCATTCTGGGAAGGGCTGACGTTGTGGGCCCGAGCTGCGAACGGCAGACGGGTAACGTACACCCGACCTTCCCCTTAAAATGCTCCCCTCTTCGCACTCCACGTCACCCCGTGGGCTCGCGCCCGCACGGGCGTCATACGAGGACACGGCGCACGGGCGCCAGATTCACTTGCGGGGGTGCGATGGAGCAGCAGCTGGAGCATGCGTAATGGGACCGGGGGGCCCCTGCTTCCCCCAGGCTCGTATTCCTGCCGCTCACCCCTCACCCCCCCCTCCCCCTCCAACTCGTCCAGCCCGTCCTCCTCCGCCTCCTCCTCCTCCTGGCGGGCCCTGCCTGGGGGATGGACCTCAAGCAGTTTTCCTCGGAAGGGCACCCCCACCCCGTCTTTCTTTCTCTCTTTCCTGACTTCTTCTCTGTGTGGGCAGTGAACCTCCTCCTCCTCGACTCCTTCTTCCTCCCTCTGGAAGAGGGGGGGTGCTCCGGCTTTTGTATGTTTCGGAGGTTTTCGGGGAGAGTGTCTGGAGATTTCATTCCGAAGGTTCCGAATGGTGTCGGAGGTTTCTGGAGGTGGAGGATAGAGAGAGGATGAGGAAGCAGGACGGAGAAGGGAGAGAGGGAGGAGGAGGAGGGGGAGGAAGAGGCAAAGAAAAAGGAGGACGAGGAGAAGGGAGGAAGGAGGAGGAGAAGGGGGAACAAGGAAGGAGGAGCCGCAAGCAGCCGCCACCGCGTGGCAGGTCGACATGCCGTTTTTCTTCATGCTGGCCGCGTTCATGGGGCCCCGCGCGGGGGGGGGGGGGGTCCCTGGGAGGTCCCCGCGCGCCCGTCCCTCAAGCGTTGTGGAAGTCGATTAATGGAGAGGAAGCATGCTGCCAAATAATTTCCAGATGTCTAAGAGATGCTCCAAACATGGTTTGCACATGTTAATAACATGTTTGGTACATGTTTGGAACATCTTTTACACATGGCGGAGACATCTTTAACTCAATGATCGGATTGTTAGAGTGTCCAGTGTCATGGCGTCCGCAACTCAAGCGAATTCAACATGGAGCAGGGCAACGTGGATTGGCAGCGAGCCCCGCTTCCAGACAGAATCGGCGCGCTCCGTCGCCGAACTGGGCGGCATTTGCGCCATCGCTCGGGCGGCAGTTTCCCCGACCTGTGGATCTGGCACCCGACCGCCGGCGCTGGGCCGCGTAGCCGCCCTGCGCCTGGTGTACGGCGCTGGACCGCGGCCGAGCGACCTCTGAGAGGTGTGTGCCGTGATGAAACAAAAACTCGACGGGTCCATGGATCCTTCGTCCATGCCTGCGTGCGCCCGAGCCCCGGCTGGGCCAGCTCTCAGCGCTGCCGATCAGAATGCAGAGCGGAGTACACCTTGGGCGATGCTTAAGAAAACCTACGTCTTCGGCCAGACTCTCGATTATTCTTAATGTTTCAATGCAAATCCTAAGATTTGAATGGGAATTTTGGGTTTTTATTCAAGTTCTGAGACTCTGAATTTCTTAACCCATGATTTCTTAAGCATTTCGCAGGGTGTATGCACAAGTTGCGGACTTCCTGGGTCGGCGCGGGCCTCTCGAGGGTGCACGTCTTGCTTCCTGCTCCCCCGCCCTGCAGGAGGGGGCCGCAGATCTTAAAGAGAGTCGGGCCGGACGAAAGGGGGGGATTGGGAAAGGGGGGGTTACGAAATTTGCTGCATGCAGCTGGTTTCGGCCCCACCGAGGGGCCCATTCCTCGATACATAGCCGCCTCTGGCGCCGGGAGGCGCCGGGAAAATCAGCTACGTGAGCTGATTCTCAAACCCCCCCTTTGCTATCCCCCCCTTTCGCCCGACCCGAGAGAGGGCTCCCTAGACCCGCCTCGCACACCATGCATGCCGCGGACGCCCGGCCCGAAGTGTCCTGGCGCTTCCTGGGGATCCTGCCTCGCGTTCTCGGATGCGGATCGCGGGCAGCAACGTCAATCATGTTTTGTGGAGTGTGGCCCAGGATCGGTAGATACCTCAGCTGCGCGGATACGCCCGTGTTGAAACGCAACGCGTACCGTGTTCCAAGCGTCCGTGTTGACGCGTTGCGCGTTGGCTCAACGTGTTGGCCCGCGTTTTGGCAGACGCATCGCGACAAGCGTCCGTGTTCAATCTCCGTGTTGAGCTCCGTGTCAGCACGCTACCAGTTGCGTGCGGCGTCTTGGGGCAGCTAAGGCATATACACTTCCCTGGAATAGCCAGCTGCGATCGAGGGCGGCTCTTCAGACGGGCCGTGAGGGGGCGTATCCACGGGCCCCTCGGCCCGCGCACGGATGTTCCAGAAAACCTACAGGCGCGTCGTGAACGGGGGAGGTGATGTTGATGATGAGGGTTTGATGATGTAATGTAGGAAGGAACATATGGGAGGTCTTCGCCACCTGCCCAGTACTGTAATCTCGGTATAGCAGTTACAGCGAAACCATCGTCATGCTCAGCCATATCATCATCATCATCATCATCATCATCATCATCATCATCATCATCATCATCATCATCATCATCATCATCATCATCATCATCATCATCATCATCATCATCATCATCGTCATCGTCATCGTCATCGTCATCGTCATCGTCATCGTCATCGTCTTCATCATCTTCTTCATCAGCATCATCATCGTCATCGCCATCGTCATCGCCATCGTCGTCATCATCATCATCATCACCACCACCATCATCACCATCATCATCATCATCATCATCATCATCACCATCATCATCATCATCATCATCATCATCACCATCACCATCAGTACCATCATCATCACCATCATCAGCATCATCATCTCCATCAGCAGCATCATCACCAAGCATCATCGAGCCCCACGATGGAAGGGGTACCCTCTCCAGAAACCCTCTCCAGAACGGAGGGTGGCCCCGCGGCGAGAGTCTCGCCTGACCTTCGTCATCCTCGGGGTGCTGTGGGCCGGCGTTCGGGGTGCGCGCGTCGAGCTCGGCCAGATCTGAGGCCC